ATGCCAACAAGAAGACGAAGAACGAATACGCCATATGAAGGCGAACCGCGAAATAAATTTAAGACTCTTCTTTATTGGTTTTTATAAGGAGATGTGCGAACATGTGGAAAAGGACGAAGCCTTATTTGTGGAAAAATACATCGCGAGATTATTATCATAAAAAATTCATCCTTGTTATTATGGGCGAAGAGGCAGATGATCAAAACGGATATAATAAACAAGAAATATTTTGACAAGGCGGGTTTTGGAAGCAAAAGCAAACCTTAAAAGATGCAAGAGAGAAAGATAAACCTATAGCAATGGCAGACATTGATAGTCATTTTAGGCAAACTGTGGAAAAATAAAAGCAGATAAGGGGGCGCAATACATTTGTCGCCCCCGAACCTTATTATGAGTGTCAAATGACTTTGTTGTTTATCAACGATTTGAACAATCAAAACTTCAAAGTCTGTGTTACTATGATTGATGATCTCAGCCGTTTTATGACAGTCGTTCCCATAACAAGCAAAGACGAGGGCAACATCGCGGCTGGTATGATAGAAGCTTTACACAACATCGGAGGAAAACCACAAATATTACTTACAGACGACGAAGGCGCATATTGAATACAAAATCCAATCAGGAATATTTAGAAATGGAAGACATACAGCACCACAGAACCAGAGCACACGCGAACCACAGCGAATGAGCTATTAGAACCTTTAAGGATATGCTTTATAAACGAGTGGAAGCCGATGAGAAGGGAGGGGGGAATATTCAATGGACTGACTATATTTATTGAAATATTGCTTACCTTTAATAATAATATTAATAATAATAAGAATAATAATAAAACGGAACATTCGGCTACGAAAATGACACCTAAGGAAGCGATGAAGGAGAAGAACGAATGGAGAGCAAAAAATAATGATGTGCATCAACAGGCGGTAAGAACGAGAAAATATCCTACTATATCCGTTTCGGTCACGGTTAGAATATACAGGAAAAGGAAAGGTGGGGAAAAAGAAAGAGTGAGCCAATGGTTGAGGCGGATACAAGAAATAGAAAGGATAGAACAGAAAAACAACACAAGTCTATTGATGTAAAGGGGGACAGTCGCCCATATGTGAGGTTTGAGTTGCTGAAGGTTCAAATAAAATCTTCAAAGAAATCTTAGAACACTATTCAAAGCCATATTTTGTTATATGCGTTAGATAGTGAGATGTATAAGAGAGGTTCTTGTTGGAAGTGTGAAGAAAAACGAATCAAGACAGAATTTAGTATGTTTTAAATTACCTGAAAACTTAGTCGAAGCGCATATAAACATATTTGCTGAATACCATGTATGCGATAAATGCGAAAGAGCAAATTATGAAAATCAGTGTGATGCAAAAAGGTATGGAGACTTTGCGAAAAATAACAGGAACTACTTGATAAGCCAAACAACCAAAAGAATGCTATTTCGCTTTTTAGATGATTGGACTACTGACGATGCCGAACTGGCAATAATCACAAGAAGAGATTACAGAGAAATAATAAAGCATTCACAACCATCCATCAAAGAAACAACTGTTAAAACATATTTCCAAAACGCTAAGGGGGGTTAGGGATACAGTATTTTCTGAAAATCATCTGCTATTTTACTAATCTATCGTGCTGTTCAACAGGTAAAGACAAAGAGATAGTAAAAACAACCTGTTTAGCATTGTCTGATTCTTTACAAGTTTACACTAAACATAAACATAACATAACAGAACAAGAGCTACACGATTATTTAGAGGATAGAAAAAATAAACCATGTAATAAACACAAGTTTACCAAAATTGTTTGCGGGTGTGTGTATAGTTCACAAGCAAAATAGTTTAAACAATCTTTAGAACACTATTTACAGAAATATTTTTTATAAACTGTATATATATATATATACAAGTTAATATATGAGTAAGTTTATACAGAGTAACCTTAACAATCTCAACAAACTCAAGGAGCGGACAACAAGGGACGCAAACACAACGAAGAAAAGAGTAGATGACATTAGAAAGCTGTATGGAGACAGGAAAATCAGCAACATAGCTACGGCAGAAAATCCAATAAAAGGTTTGACTTCAAAAAACCTACGACAAAGCTTTTACCACATACAACGAGCAAATAAAAGACTTGAAGAAGAAGGGAAACCGTTGAAAGAAAGAATGGCAGAGACCAAGGAGAACAATAAAAAAAAACACATTTTTAAATTTCCATTGTTATAACATCCGAGACCCTAGAAACATGAAGATTAAACCAGCTTTTTTTTAAGGTGGACGATATTACCACATAGAAAATTTCAACATAAGGCAGGCTACGGTAAAAGCAAGGGATTTTAATAGAGCTTGGATTAAAAAGATAATTTTTAGATATAGATATATATATATATATATATATATATATACAGGGGAGGGGCGAGGGGAAGGGTTTGACGAACTAATGGAAAGATGTAGTGATATTGTTATATTAGACGTAAGCCATATGGACAAATTCCCCAACCCCGAGTTTGATGAACTGATTAAGATTATGAGAACAGACAAAGATTTTCAGGAACTGATGGAAGATTTATCGGCATACTATGACCGTGTCTTTGATGCTATTAAAATACAAGGTGTCGAAATGGTAAGGACAAAAGGGGAGAAGGTCGACATAATGAAGGAAGACTTAACGGATGCATCGGAAAATGTGTCCATTTATCACAGGTATGTTTTAACAGAGGTAAACCCCAGATTGGATATTTAAAAGGCGCTTTGGAAAAGCACGAGCAGACTAAACATCAATGTTGGAAAAACGCGCTTGTGGATTTTGATGGCGATACACTACTGGACGATCGCAGGAGGAATAGACTAACGGTAAATAGGATTATGGAAATCACAGGAAGGGATGATTTTTACAGCAAGGGCGCCAGCATATCGGATATGGACAAGGTCTTTAAGGAGTTTAACATACGAGCGAGAATATACGACCAGTTTTTTATATCTCATTTAAAGGCAAGACCCCGAAACATCAACATATAATGTCAAACCTTTTTTCGCATTGGTGAGAAACAGCAACATTTACGCATTCAACGAAGACATAACAAGCTTGGAGCAGACCGGAGGAAAAATAAAAAAGCACGGTAGTAAAAACGACTACAGATTATTACCTGAACGAAAACGAAAGTCCACCCGAATATACAATGTTCGGTGTACCGATGACCTGCTTAAACACATAGAGCCATTAAACCCGAAGAAGAAAGAGGTAATAACGAAATACATGGTTCCCGAAAGAAACGACTTAACCGAAACCTTTTTTCGAAATGATTGGGGCAGGATACGAGCCATCGATCGCATTACAGGCGGGGATAGTGTCGCAAATAAAAGCCTGATTTAACAGAACCAAATTTATAATAAAATCGCAAAACTTAATAAGAGACACGGCAGACGGAAACATAACAGTAGACGACGAGGAAACATACAACAATATGAACGAAGCGATGTTCGGTTTTAACAAGGGGCTTGTCAATTCATTACACAAGTCGTATTATAACGATGAGGATTTTGACATATACGAACAAACAAAAACGATAGTGGCATCGCGTTTATTTTCCAGAGATGAGGACATCCCAAAAAACATAGTAGAAGCCGATATATCAAAAGCGTTTACCGGTCGCTTGATGGATATTACAGAAGTGCCAGTGTTTAACCAATTCGACAAATGGAAAAGATACAAGGCTGTTGATTACAATCAATTGCCAGATTGCACATTGTATTTTGTAAAGGCTGGGTGGGGTGCGAAAATTATGTGTAACAAAGGGTTCAACCTAATTTATGGAAAGTATCTCAAGCAAATTCACACGACAGGCATAGAAACTTTGTATTACAAAAATACCTTCGTTCATTCACAGGGTCAGCTATAAGGAACTGATCGAAGAGCTATGGTGCAAAACTATTAGTAGCGACGGTCACCTTGACAAGCTGATTAAACAGCTTATAGCTAATGTTAATATAGGACTGTTAGAACGGACTTGGAGCAAAGACCAGAAAAGCGTAGTATTTAAAAAACTCGGCGAAGCGTGTGATTTTCAATCTAAGCACGGAGGAAAATTACACAAGCTAACGGACTACGAACTAACAGACGAGCTAAGCGAAACCGTAGAAGAAGAAGGGGACAGCTATCACAGAATGAATGTATCGGACAAAGCCAAACTAAAGATTGATTTGTCTATATAAAGGAGTTTTTTTTACGAGGTCATAATTTCAAACTGTATCAAGACTACCACAAACTGATCGTAAAAGACGTAAAGGTATATAGTGTAAAAACGGATGCCTTCACCATAAGCCAAGCAGACGAAGAAAAAGCAAGGCAAATATTATCAACGGATCAGGGAGGAATAGGAAAATGGAGAATAAGCAAAGAGGACGGAGTGCTATTACCATCAGTATTATACCAACAACAAGCGAATGAGGCAGTGGAAATAACAACACCGGAAAATATAGAACTGAAGATACAGGACGAATACGATATGTCGGACATTATAGGGAACATAACACAAGCCAAGCAAGTAATGATCAGAGCAAAGCTTTGGCTCGAGGTGGTGCCTCCACGTGGCCCAAGGCGGGACTTGTAGTGGGTACAAGTGCCGAACCATCTCGCAACCTGGTGGGGCATCGCTCCATCGAGTGGCAGTTGCCACTACCACCGCGATTATGGCAGGAAACTTGCTGCTATGGCTGCAGCTCTGTGCAAGGATGGCGAAGGGACCCCCACTGGTCTCGGTGCTACGATCCGCCCATGCAGGCAGACTGGGGAAGGTCAGCTTGCACCATGGCGGATGCAAATTCAGGAAATTTGGCTTGGGACCGGCTCAAGACCGGGGCTCATGACCAAACTGCGGATCCAGCGAGAGTTACTCGCTGAGCAGAGGAGTGCTGAAGAAACACGTCAAATCGATGCGCTGAGGCTTGAGGTTTGGCTTCGCGTACCAGTCTCGTCGTACTGGTGTGCAGAGCGTAGCCATGGTGCTGCGCCTCTGCAAGTATGGCAACAACCCTTCGATGATGCGCCGGCTCCAGGTGCAGATGAAGACTACTTGCTCCCGAAGTGCACCCCCCGGGAGCCTCTCGAGGAGCTGCCCTTCGTGGACCCCCAGGTGCCCCTGCAGGACACGATTATCCGCAAGGTCACTGGTGACTCGCCGATGCTCAGGCCACCGCGGTCTGAGGTGGTGCTGTGCTGACAACGTGCCTTCTTTGAGTGAGCCGCCCGGTTGTGTCTTAGGATGGGAGCGGACCCAAGGACCGGCAAGAGCAAATCAAGACCCGCCAAGGGCAAAGACAGTTGTGTGTGTTGAGCATCCGCCCCCAAATGGACCGCTCGAACCAAGACCCGCTGAAGGGCTTTCAACAGTTGCTGACGGGCAGCCTTCCCCCAAGGCCTTGCTCGAAACAAGACCCGCTGAAGGGCAAAGATCTCACGAGATGAGCTTCCCGAACCTTTTCCCCATTTGTGGGGCCCCGAACAGTAGCCCTGCACGGGCTCCCGCCGAGCATCCTGCCTCGCCTTGTGCTAGCCATGGCTACCCTGGCGTGCCTACCGAGGTCGAGTCTGCTTGGAGCTGTGCCACGACAATGGCTGGAGGACCAGGTGCTGCCGAGTTGCGCCTCTCCACCTTTGGGTTTAGTGGCCCGGCCCTCTCCGGATTGGTTTCTTCTAGGGTTCCGTGCCTCCTGGGTTCCCCTTTGGGGTTTAGGCTTGTGCTGCTTCTTGCCGCAAGCGCTGCCTTCCCAAGACGAGGACCCACTTGAAACCCCGTAAGCGACGATGCTTGATTTGGCCGTGTGCATTGCAACATGTCGACTGGAGCCTCAAGCGGACCTTGCCAAAACCCGAAGCCTACCTTAAGCCCCGAAAGCGCCGATGCATCTGTGCCGCTGAGGTTTGCTTCCACCACCGCCAAATCGGGCTGCACACTCAGGCTGTCTGCTTCCACTGCGGGTCTGTGTGGTCGAAAGATCATTGTAAATCCCCACCGGCCAGGGGAGCTTGTTGGAGCGCCAAATCTAATTGCACTTGTGATTTCGCGAGCCGCTTCTCACGCCATCCGTTTAGGCAGCACACTCGGGCTGAAAGTTTCTACTGCGGGTCTAGCCGGTCGAAAGACCCGAGAACATCCCCACTTGAAGCAGAAGCCTGCAGGAGCGCCGAGTTCGATCCTTGGGCCGATTCGAGCCTAGTGCCTTCCTTCGGGTTCTCCGGTTGCTCTAGGCCCTCTCCCCCTAGCGGTTTCCCTGTGCACCACACTGCTTTTTGCCCTGGCCTCCTCGGTGAATACTTGCAGGAAGGGACGAACCGCGAAACCCACCACCGTGACGAGCTGCACACTCAGGCTGATGGCTTCCACTGTGGGTCTAGATGGTCGAAAGAGCCGAGAAAATCCCCGCCTGGCTTTTGCTGATCAGCCGTCTCCCTCTGGGCCTCCCCTAGGGTTTAGGCCCTCCTCCCCTAGTGGTTTCCCCGTGCACTTGACTGGATGCCCAGGCCTCCTTGGCGAATGCTTTCAAGAGGACAAGGCCAGTCCGGATGTTGCTGATTCGTGCCTTCTGCCTCCCTTCGGTTTCCCCTTAGGGTTTAGGCCCTTTCCCTCTTGTGGTTTCCCCGTGCACTGTGCGACTTCCTGCCCAGGCCTTCTTGGTGAATACTTGCAGGAAGCGTCGAACCGTGAAACCCACCACTGTGTTCGAAAACTCCCGATGCCCTGCAGGCCTTCATCCGACAGGCCGTGCAAAAGGCGATCCAGGAGGCCATTGCTGGGTTTGACCTTAGTTCCCTCCTGAATGGTGCCGCCCCGACTGCACCCGTGGCGACTTCCCCTCCGGCAGGGTCTTGTGCTCATCGCGAAAAAGGGCCAAACTCCGAAAAGCAGCTGCCAGGCTGACTCGGGCTGCTGGCTCCCAGGCCCCGTCGACTGCCAGCCCGGACCCTACGTTGGATGGCGGTGCCAAGGCTAAAGGCAAAGGTCCGAAGCCAGGTCGTGACAAACCCAAAGGTGCAGGGAAAGGCAAAGGCGACCAGCCTGGGTCCAGTCACTCAGGCAAGGGCAAAGGGGCAGCCGCGGCACAGCCAGACCCCTCTGCCGCGACCCGTGTGGTCACCATTTCTGACCGCAAGCCTTCAAAGGCTGAGGAGGGCTGGCACACGGTGCAGCGTAAGCCTAAATCCCCGGCAGCCGCCGACCCGTGGAGGCTGCGCAAAGGTGACTGGGATTCACCTGTGATTGTCTTCGACGATGTTGCGGCCCGGCTGGCTGCTCACACGGAGGGCGCTTTCAAAGCGGTCGTGCTATGTGATGACTCCCAATATGAATTGTTGTGCAACATTGCCAAGGGCTCTAACAAGGAGCACGGCATCACTGCGGTCACTTTGGCCAAGGACGGCAACCGGTGCGCAGGGGAGTGCGATGGCCAGCTTCGTTTCAGGAATGTTTCTTTCAGGTGCATCCGAACTGCAGGCCAGGAACACCCCAAACCCCGTGTCTCCTCCCCAGCCGTTGGCATCATCAAGGCTGAGACCACCACGGTTCTTTTTGCCAGGTTTCATAAGAAATATATGGAGCCTGCCGCCTGGGCTGCTGCGTGCAAGGCCCCACAAGCCGAGATGCACATGTGGGCTGCAAAGCGAAACCTCAAACTCCACGATTCTTTCAGTTGGTCTAAGGAGCGTCGCCCTGGTGATACCTCTGAGGTTCAGCTTCCCAAGGAGCCCCCTTTGCAGTACCTTAGCCGGGTTAGGGCCACTGGTTCCGAGTTCGGGATTGTGGTTGGTTTGCGGTCTTTGGGCAAAAGACAGAAGCGCGACCCGGCGGCGCCCGTGGCCCGGACGTGGCTCCTTGAGCATGCGCCACTGCACTGGACGGCGCAGCAGGCGCAAGAAGCATTGGCCACGACCTTCTCTGAAGTCACCATGGTCAAACAGCGCCGCAACCGCAGCGGCAGTGCCTTCTACTTTCGTGGAGCGCATGTCACCGACCACGACATGGTCGCTCTTCCCATCACGGTGGAAGACTCACAGCAGATCGTGCTGTGGGCTCGCTGGGCCCCTGTGCAGCACAAGGTGCAGCGTCAGTTCATTTCCGGGCAAGGTTCATGGAGCCTTCGACAGCCCAAGGACCCTTTTACAACTGCTGAGTCGGTGCCGCTGGAACCCAAAGGGGGCACTCCTGCCAAGGAGCCAGACTCCATCGATGTCGAAGAGGAGGATGCTGCCAAGACCGACAGTGGGAAAACCACTAAGCCTCAGAGCAGCGCCCAGCCTGCGAAGCGGCCGTGTCAGTCCCAACGGGCCATTCCTGATACGCTTGTGGCCGAAGCGATCCCTCAAGATGGCAATTGCCTGTTCGGCGCCGTGTCTGCCGGCCTCGCTTTTACTACGGGAAAAGACGCGATCCATCCGTCGATGTTGCGTGCCAGGGTCAAGCAGCATTACCAAAAGCACAGGCAGGTCTATGAGGAACAATGGCAGGGGGAACTCCCCAATGCAACGCCCTCTTCTGATTTCGATGCGTACCTTGAGGCGATAGGCACGGAGGGACAATGGGGGTCATCCCTCGAAATCCGTGCCTTAGCCAGGCTGCTTGATGTGAGAATCGTCGTGTATCCACGACAATTTCATTTCAACGTGTCTGCCGTCCATCGCCAACAGCGTAAGCATGTGTTTGTACTACTGCACAATGGGTACCATTTCGACTTGCTGAAACCTGCTAAAGATCAGAAGTGGCCGCGTGAAATCATGGATGTCATTGAGGACTTACCTCCTACTTTCAAGGGCGGCGGCTCGTCCTCTGAAGCAGGTACAGTGTGGACTAAACCCTCAGCTCTTGCATCGGCCCGCACTGTGTGGACACACCCAGGTGGTGCAGCCCCGTCTGCTCGCACCAAGTCGGCCGCTCGCTCTGCCAAAGCTCCCCCAGCATCGGTGTGGACACAGGTTGCCCCGGCAGCTGTCCAGAGTGCGCCTTCTCAAGCGTCCGAGCCTCCTCTTCAGGATGCTGCCTTAGAGGAGATGGTGCAAGCCTGCACTGACCCTCCCAAGCGACCGAGGGGACGGATCGCCAAGTGCCAATGGCTGCAGGGAGGCTTTGCTCGCTGTCGGTTGTGCCCTTTCAAAAGTCGTGCTCAGTCTGCGCAGGAGGCACAAAACGTGTTGGGACAACACTTCAAAACACACCACCGTGGCGAGACGCCCGCGGGCGGGACGCCATTCAACAAGCAGCAGCCCTCTCTCGTGACAGAACTTTCAGAGCACCACGACTTTGTTTGGAAGTGTCGCTTTTGCAATTTTGGGGTGACCTTAGAAGCCGCCAGCACTGCCTGCGAGGAGCGGATCACTAGGGATAAAGATTTGCATAAGCAAACTGCCCACCCCAAGCTTTCCTGGAAAGAGTGGCGACGAGCTGGCCGTGATGCCAGCACTCTTGCAGCTACTAAGACGCGCTTTGCAAAAACTGCCCAAAAATACCCTCCCCTTCCTGGCTTCCAGACCTTCAGGTGGCCTCGCTTTGGAGGCAAAAAGTGCGACCGCTTGATCCGCTGGCGTTTCAGCTGGATCTGCACCAAGTGCCATGCTCCCTTCTCGGTCCTCAAGGAGGCCCTTGCACATGACTCCCACTGCCCCAGCCCTTACGGCCGCTCCCGGGCCAAAGAGCGCCTCAATGCCGTGCGCCAGGTTCGCAAGACCTATCTGAAGTCGGCCCCGGCCCCCGGAGAGCTCAGGTGGAGAAGTGGATTGCCGAGGCAGAGGCCATCTTTCAGCGTGCAGCGTCGCCGCTCCCCTGATCAAGACGGCCACCATCAACGTGTGCAGACGCAGGGTGTCTATGCATGATCAGGTCGAGGCTTTCCTCAAAGACCATTGTATAGACATTGCCGTTCTTCCTGAGGCAGATGTCAATGAGGCCTCTGGTCTCTCTTTCTGTAATGCGTGGCGGGCCAAAGGGCTTCATGCGGCCCTTAGTCGCCCGGAGGCTGGAGTCTCCAAGGTGGCTGTTGTGTCTTCTTTTCCCTTCAAGCAGGTTACCCTTACTTCTGGTGAGGCTGAGACAAGACATGCGGCGATCCTCGTGGACCTCAAAGGCCCTTGCAACGAAGTCGTGACACTCATGGTGATTGGCGCCTACTTGCAGTCTGGCGACGAGCCAACTGCGGCGGGGCAAGCCATGGACTTAGCTCAAATGGCCGTCCACTCCGGATTTAAATTTCTTCTTTTGGGGGATTTCAATTTGGAGCAGGAGCATCCAGTCATCAGAGATTGTGTCTTGACCGGCATTGTTCGCCGATGCGATGACTGCCACCCCGGCGTCTTACCGCCTACTGGCCCGATCTTCCGTGGCAGCCGCAGACGCCGAATCGATTTTGGGCTTGCCCACTGTCAATGGCCGGCAGTCGCCACAGAAACCCTGGACGGGCCTTCAGACCATCTGGTCGTAACACACTCGTTTGATGCCCAGGCTCCCCTGCTCCGCCAAGGTCCTCGACGACGCCCCTTTCGCCTCCTCAACCTGCAGAGGCTCTTGAGAAAAAAGGGGAATTGTACGACGACGCTGCTTTTCAAACTGCTTGCCAGACTGGTGATCTTGATGAAGCCTGGCGTTTGCTGTCGGACTGGGGCGAGGATCTCCTGTGCGACCCCGATCCGATAGCTGTACCTCGGAGTGCCGCCTGGACTCCTGCTGTTCCCGCGGCCCCTCGCACGGGCAAGTGTGCAGAAAGGTCGGCAGGCCTGAGAGCCCTCTTGAAGCTATTGTCTCGTCTTCGCATGGCTGCTGCCAAGCCTCACGACCTACCATTGTGGCGTCGACTGGCTATCGTGTTTACTCGATCCTGTTTAAATATCAAACCATTTTGTTTTCCTTGCGGTCGGTGTGTTCCAATTTTGTATTCCCTCATTTTGCATGCGGCTTGTCTTGAGATTGGAGCATGGCGAAGCATCTCGAATGCTGAAGCTTGGCGGCTCCAGATCGAGCTTCAACTTTTTTCTCCCCACCCACCACTCCCTTTGGTGGTCGACAGCTGTCTCCTTTGCACAGTCGTGCGGATGCGCAGATGTTCTCCCGCTGACAATAAGTCGTTGCGGCGAGCTCTTTGCGTTTCTCGCTTCAGTATAGTTCTCTTTTAGCAGTGCATATTCCGTTGGGACATGGTCCCCCGGAAGTTCCCGGGTTTATGCTTGGCCCCATGGGCCTTGATTAAACCTTGAATCCGTATGCTTGTCAGATCTTACTTCTGCGGTTTTCCACCACGGCATAAAACATAGGGCGAAGGGAACGAGTGCGATGTGCCAGTGATATGATTGGTGATTGGAATATTTCATATTCACACTCTGCGATTATAGCTGATTGCGTATGCTTTGAGATTTGGATATCTTTTGAGCTGATCGCCTGAACTTTTGAGCAATGCTTTTGGGGGAATACAAAATGCGTTTCGTATTTGAACCTGTAAGTCTCTTGGGAATGTTCGCCGGCTTGTTCCCGAACTGCCCCCTATCGGCAAAACAGATGATGCTACGGTGGCTGCTGTTGCTGCCCTAGTGCAAACCTACTCTGAGCAGGAACGTGAGGCAGCCCGCCGGGTGTGGAAACGGGCCACGCGTGACTCCTTGGCGGCCTCTCGTGCATACGTCAAGAGAAAGGCCGATCAGATTCTTGAGTGGGACAAAACCGCCGCTGAGGATCGGGCTCCCACCAGTGGCCGGCATCCTGCCGTTGAGGTCGACCGTCAGGCTGCAGAGTGGAAGCAAAAATGGCGCACTCGATGCTCCGACTCAGGCCCATGCTCTCAGGTGGCCAGAATCTTAGAGTCTGTGCCTCGTCCTCCCCCTAGTCAGGTGGATTTCCAGATCTGTGCCGGCTCGCTCCGAACCTCGCTGAGCAGCATGCAACACAAGTCCTGTGGGCCGGACGCCTGGACGGCCTCTGCTCTCCTCCAACTCCCGTCTCGGTGGTGGCGATGCGCCGCCCAACTGTGGGGCTGCGTGCTTCAGCACTCGTTGGTGCCGGAACGCTGGCTCTGTGGAAGAACCGCTTTACTTTGGAAGCCGGCTGGGGGCACCCGCCCGATTTCCATTTTACCTTTCATTTGGCGATGCGGCGCGAAACTCTTAAACCAGCAACTTGAGACTTGGACCTCTAGCTGGAGGTGCCACTTCGACTCAGGTGGCATTGCTGGCACGTCCATTGACACGGCCCTTCAACAACTCTCTCTTGAGCTCCACAGTGGTGCCCAGATGGCCGTCCAGCAGGATGTGAGTTCCTTCTTTGATTCTTTGGAGCACGGGCTCACTGCCCAACTGTTGCGACACCTCAGGGCACCTGAGTCCCTTGTCAGCCTCTTTGAAAACTACTGTGCTCGATCTTCACGACTCTTCGCTCTCCAGGGAGCGTTGGGCAACGGATGGGTGCGGCCCGAGAGGGGTCTCCCTCAAGGCTGCCCTTTATCTCCAGTCATTGCCGCGGCGGTCTCTGACAGGACGATGTGGCGGCTGCTAGTGTCACTGGACATGCATATGTCGATGATAGGTGCCTGCTGCTCCGGCAAGGATTCCCTGTCAGACACCTTCGTCAGGCTCTTGATAGGTCCGCTGCCTTTGACACCGCCTTTAAGCTTGGCTTGTCGTTGACAAAGTGTGCTGTGGTTGCTGCCCCCTCCAATGCATCCGCGGCCCTGCTTGCCAAGGACCTTAATTACAAGCACCTCTCGACCCTTGAAGTTTTAGGGGTTGTCGTTCCCTTTGAGGGCTCTTGGGGTCTTCTTAAGTTTTCGGTTGCCAAGGTTTTGCTCCGCCTGCGGTTGATGCGTGGCTTGGACCTCCGCTTGCATTCGGCCAGACACTTGATCCGATCGTTGGTGGTGCCGTGCTTTGCCTGGGCTGCCCCGTATGCAAACCCAGATCCGAAGGAACTCGAGGCCATCAGGAAGGAAGTGCTGCTGCACCTGTGCTCCCGCCAAGTAGGTCAGGAGGCTGCAAGGGTGTTGTTCTACGAAATCGCAGGATGGTACCTGGAGCCTCGATTTGCGTTGGATGCTGCTATCCTTCGTGCACTGTGGCGGCATGTTGTGCGCCCGCCCTCCTGGCAGGAAGCACTTCCTTTGTCGGCAGCCCCTGTCTCGCCTCTGAACATCCTGCCCTGCCTTCCTGAGGTGCTGGATCGCCTTCAATGGCAGCTCACTGCGAATGCCAGCCGACTGCTTTGCCCCGGGCCTTCGGGCGAACCTCGACACGTGTGCATCGGTTTCGAGTCTTTCAGTGTGGTGCTCCGTTGGCTCACAGAGGCGTACCGCATGAAATATGTCTTGAAAACGGGCAGAGTATGGCAACGTAAGGTCCGCGACCCGGGCAGTGCTGTCGGCATTGATTGCCCGCCACCTCCGCGCACTGCCCACTATGAATTTGGTGGCCATAAGGCAGTGTTTCAAGAGGCCCGTGGGGATCGCAACCTCGCCTTAGCATCCTTTGGAGCCGGCTGCACCAATTGGTTTTTCAACGCAAAGGGAAACTTTGCACCCGAACACCAGCGTCATAAGTGCATGTGCGGGGGGTCCCATCCGTCGCGTCCCCACCTCGTGTGGAGTTGCAGCCACACGGCGAGCATCAGGCAAGGCATTGCCGTTCCGCAAGATCGTGCTGCCGAGAGACTGTTTGCGCAGCCGGTTCCGCCCATGCCTTCTGCACCGCAGGCCGTCGACACGCCTGGCTTCATTGCGGAACTTGTCGAGCAATTGGTGCCGCGCTTGTCTCAATCTGTCATGATGGCTGCCACAGATGGCTCCAGCAAACACGAGGTGGGAGCTATGGGCTTTGCTTTGGGCTCCACCCGTGCTGCCCTTGCCACTGGGGATGCAAATGAGGACCAAACCTCATTCAGGATGGAACTGCGGGCGGTCTACTTGCTGCTCGTTGCATTGCAGGAAGCTGTTCGTCAGACACGTGCAGCTCAAGCCTTCTCCTGCCGACGCCTTTGGCTGGCGATTGACTGCGAGTCTGTCATTCTTGCTGTCAAAGGATGCCGGGGTACAGACTACTTCCTGTTGCTTGAACAAATTCGCCAAGCCCTGAAAGAACTTTCGAGGCAAGATTTGCAGGTCACAATGGTTTGGACTCCGTCTCACGGGAAGAAACCCCGGTGGCAGCCGCCACATGGTCTCAACGGTGACACTCTCAGAGAGCTGAACGCTGCAGCTGATGCGGCAGCCGGGGCTTGCATGGAACGCCGACTTCGCAACTCTGCCAGGGAACAGTGGGCCCAGCTACGGCAACAGGCGATGCAGTGGGAGGTTCGCACTCTCCGCGCGGTTGCTGCCACGGCGTCTGCTTACCATAGTTACTTGAAAACTGTGGGGCACGGGCCGAGGGATGATTTTCCCTTACGGGCTGAACCTTAAGATGCTTTGGTATACTGCTCAGTGCCCTTCCGTTGTACGTGTTTTGCATCTTCAACCTCGTGCTCTTCAAGTCTGCGTGAGTTCTTCGTGGGATGGCCTTCGGTGTGCTACTCGGCGACCTCAGTGCATGAGGCTACTTCGTCTACGAGCCGGTCCACTTCGTGCAGGCGGTCCGGCCCGTGTACCTTCGGGAAGTTACCTTCTTCGAGCTCTTCGGCAACTGGCGGCTTGGCTCGTGCGCCTTCGGGAGTTTAGCTACGGCGAGCTCTTCGGTGGTGCTGTTGCTGCAAGCCTGCAGCTGCTTCTCTGGCAGCTGTGGGACTACGACGTCTGCGATCTGGTGCTCAGGTGGCACTTTTGTGGGCTGTGCTTCGACTTCTACCTCTTCAAGCTCTTCAGTGCCGCGGCTGTTGTACCTTCAGGAGTTCGTTTTCTACGAGCTCTACGGCGATTACATTGGTGCGACTGGAGTCTTCTTTCGGCAATTGGTTCTGATGTGGGGCCTTCCTGGCTTCGACGTGCTGGTCTACTTCATGCAGGTGGTCTGGCTCGTCTACCTTCGGGAGTATCTCTTCTTCGAGCTCTTCGGCGACCAACGGCTTGGCTCGTGTACCTTCGGGAGTTTGTCTTCTGCGAGCTCTTCGGTGTCACGGCTGCAGCCGGCCTGTGGCTGCTTCTCTGGCAGCTGTGTGACTACGACGCCTGCAGTGGTGCTTGCGTTGGCACTTTGGTGGGCGGTACTTCTTCCTCTTCGAGCTCTTCGGCGCTGTGGCAGGTGTTCTTTCGGGAGTTTGGTTTCAGCGAGCTCTTCTGTGACTACTCTGGTGCGACTGGAGCTTCTCTTCGGCAACTGGTTCTGCAATGGGGCCCTCCTGGCTTCGACTCGGCCTAGTTTCGGCTGGTGTCTTGGGGCGTCTGTCTGGTCACTTGACTGGTGGTCTCGACCGTGCCCCTGGTGCTCTTCGGCAACTACACTCCTCTGGTGCTTCTTCGGCTTGTGGAAGCACGCTCCTCTACCACGACGAAAAGACTGTGGCCCACGCCTCTTTTGGTGCCACACACTTCCGCGTGCTTCTCTTCGAACGTGGACTACGGCAGCGACTTCTGTGGTGCGGCTGCGGCTGGCTTCGCCTTTGGCGTTTCTGGACTGAGCTCGTGCCTCGAAGTCTTCTGAACTTGTACAGCTTCTGCTTAGCCCGCAGGTGTGACCGTTTCATTTTTGCTTTCACAAGAGTGGCAAAGCCTTTCAGGTCGGACTTCTCAGCTACCTTGAAGGCTCCACCATAACTAAAAGGGTTCGTTGCGTGCGACAGCCCCTTTAAAGCCACTGTAGCAGTTCTGCACCCTTTTGTACACCCGTGCATCGAGCTGCTTCTTCGCTTCACTGTATAGGAGCCTCTTTTCGTTTGGTTCGTGAAGCTGGCTTCTGCTGCTTCGTCAACTGCACGTTTCAGCTTGTTCCACAGACTCGTGAGCTTCATTGGACCTTCTTGGCCAGTGGAGCGGACGCCAGATTGAATGATCAGAGCAAAATATGCGGGATCGGGCAAGTCGTATATATGCAAAAGAATGAGGGTTTTATTTGTTTGTCCAACTAACAAGCTGGTTCAAAGCTACGGTAAGGAGGCAGTTGCAGTTAATAAGTTTCTCGGTATATCCATAGGCGAGGTGAGGCTTGAGGCAATGGATTATAGTGGATATAACGCAGTAGTTTTTGACGAAGTTTATTTTAACGGTTTAGGCGTGTTACACAGAATAAGGGAGTTTGTTAGAAAAAAACCTTGAACTGACAATCATAGGAACTGGGGACGGCAAGCAACTGAAGCCGGTAAATAAACTGACCAACACACAGGAACACGAAATGTATATGAACTCATTCACCTTAAGGAATGCAAGAGATTAACGACCAAAGAAGACAAAGAGAAATTATCGAACATATACGACGACATTTTCGTAAGCAATTTAAAATCTAAAGAGCTGATCGAACGATACTTCAAATATATGAAGGTGATAAGATTGAGCAAAAACAACATAGCTTATCTGAACGACACCTGCAGGGAAGTATCGAAGGACATAAGGAAAACAGAAAACAGAGCAGCTGAATACGAGGTAGGCGAGGTAATGATATGCATAGAGTATTTAAAAACAGCGAGGTATAAGTTTAATGTGTTAGGTATGGCATCCAAAACATAAATCACGAAACGGTGGTTTTATACAATGAGGTTGAACAAACATCACAAGAAGTCCCGATAGATATTTTGAGGAAGCACGTTGTATTTGCATATTGTTATACTTGCCACAGTGTCCAAGGGAGTAGCATAGACAACGCAATAACGATATTTGATTATAACCAATGGCTGATTAGGAAGGAATGGTTATACACAGCGATTACAAGAAGCACTGATTTAGATAAAGTGTAGTTCTAGAAATATAACGCGCATGTCAAAGAGGATGTGTTTAACGACAACTGCGTGTATAACTATATGTGTCGAAAGGTTAAGGGATACAAAGAGCAAGACCACGCGGGAACAATAAAGGTGGAACATAAGCGTTTTATAACGGCAGATTGGCTTATGGAAAGGTTAAACGGTTGTTGTGTAAAATGTGGTATAGAGTTTCATTTGAAAATGGTAAAGAGGAACATACATACGAATTTGACAGCACAACGAATAAAAAATGACATCTGCCACACGATCGAACACTGCATAGCATATTGCAAGACTTGCAACTGCGCCGCGAGTAATAAGAAAAAGTTTTAAAACAAAAGTTTTAAAAAACATATATTTCGCTATATATAACCGGAGGTTTAGAAGCATCACTTAACGACATCACCAACACATTACAAAACTTTGACAACAAACTCGATGTGATGATAAGCAAAGTGTTCAGCGAAAAATCTTATTCCAACAGACCGCCTGTTTTTAAAGATGCAACATATATAAGCAAACGAAAGACATATCTAAGCAAACTCAACAACGGTGAAATCAGAGAACCCAAACGAAGCACCTTAGAATATTAAGAAATCATCAAAGACGGAGATGTATACGAAGTGAAGAAGGGTCAAAGATAGGAATTATCAGAATTTATCTTTTCAAGGATATTTGTAAAGATTGATTTTGTTAGGCTTTTTGAGTTTCCAGGGCTGAGGATTTTAATAAGGATTTTTAGGGAGATTATGTAGGAGAAATGCTTAAGGTGGGGAAGTCAGGAATTGAGAATTTTATGGTGATAAGGTAGATGCTTAGGGAAACTCGGGGCAGGTGGGGATGTCAATATTAGAGATGTTGGAAAAACATGTTGAAAAACGTAGGGTGGTATACAGGGTAAAAACGGTTGAGGTAATCGGGCAGGAGCTTGGAAGTTACGGGAGCGCAACCCTAACTAAGCCATGGGTTTGCTGGCGCCCAAGACCCGAAAGTGCAGGACCAGCTCCCATTGCTTGCAAGTGGGCGCGGGTTCTGAGACTGTCCACGAAGTACTCTCTGGCTCCGCGATGTGTCCTCCAGGCACTGCAGTGAGTGGCTGGCATCTTGGGAGCTAAACCTGCAAACCTTTGCTCAGCTTTCGGTTTGCTTTGCTGGTGGATGGTGAGGCTTTGGGGACTGGTGTTTCTGAATTATTATATGCTTTTGAGGTTCAAGGGTGATGGGACGCGCGCTTCACGGGCTTTGCCGGTGCATGAGTCTGTTGCTCCCTGGGTCCTGGGCTTGTCCAGTTGCCGAAATAAGGTTCAGGGGTGGAACGGGGTGGAACACGCAGCTCAGGTACAACCTCCCTGGCATTCCCGTCAAACAGCAAAAAAACAGTCACTCCGGGCCCTTCAGCTGGACGTCCGCGCGGCTTTTCTGCCGACGGACGGACTCTGGGCTCTCTTTGGGGCTTTTTTTGGGGCCTTACCTTGTCATAGCCTTCCACATTTCCAGGGCTCGAAGGACCAACAAGGGGTTTGCTTAATTTCCCAGCTTACGCCTCAAGAAGCCCTTAAGCTTACGGTTTTCCCGTTTTGACGTAACTTGACGAGGTCTTGCTCTCCAACTGCCAGCAGCCCATGGATCCCCATTGCAGGAATGGCGAGGTGGTCAGTGGACTCGTCTACGACGCGAGCGGCATGAAGATGAGGTCGGCCAGAAACTGCACTGAGGACTGCCTTGCCTCACCCTAGGTGTAGACATAGTGTCCCAACATGAGAGGAATTTGATGCCGAGGTGCTGTCAACTGCAGCAGCCACTTGGCTTCAGGTTCAAATCCAACACCCGCGAGAGCAAGCCGTACAAGAGCTTCGAGGGCTACTACTGCCCCACTGCTGTGGATCAAACGGGAGCACCTTTCTACAACAGGCTTGAGACTTGAGGGTCCAGGGCTCTCAGGGCTGAGGGCATGAGAGTTGACCTTATAAGTATGAAGCACAGACTCCTAAAGCGTCCTGAGCCCTAGGGCGATACAGCCACCCCCAACCTCTTCACCCCTCTTGTATACCTCTAACCAGCACCGCCACCCAAATCCTACGCATCCGCCCTGGCCAGGACGTCGATCGCAGAGTTGGGAAGCCCAGACGTGACCGAACCTGCGGAGGAGGCCACGCTGAGCTGGAATAAGTGCCTCGATTCGCATGAAGGACGAAGGGATACGAAGGCTCACACACAAGGGACCAAGCCTCCCAAGGTTTGTCTCGGGGGTTTGGGGTTTGAGGTGGGGTTTGCCATTTGGAGGTTAGGGTTCTAGGGCTTAGACTTACGCGATTAGGGAATTTGATTGTTTGGTTGTTACAAGAGGCGTAAAAAGTCAAGGGGCCTCTGGGTTCAAGGCCTTGCATGGGCTCAGAGCCCACAGACCCCCGAATTAAGCCCCTGATTGTGCGAGGCTTGGTGCTAAGAGGTCTGAGCTTTGCATGTTTTTGGGCTCCCGGGCTTCTGAGGCATTGGGACTATCAAGTTGATAGCTTTAGGCCGTAGGGTTGAGGGTCGTGAGAATACCGAAGATGATTGGCAATGCAACCGTGA